GGTGGGGGTTGTCGTTAAATGGGGGGATTGTCTCCTGTAATACCTGAAACCCGTCTACGATTGTTAAGGGTCGGTCGTTAAGGCGGTATTGTTCAACGGCTGGAGCGAGTAGGTACTATGTTCCTCTGTGATGGGGTGGGGGGGTGGTGATATCTGGAAGGGATCATCTCTATAACTGAATTGGAAGTTTTTGGAAGCTGGTGGACTCAGATTGCAGCTTTCAAAAACCTACAATGCAGCAATTGAGTTGATCCCTTCCCGCTATAATCATCCTTCACAAGGGAGCAGAAAACCTTGCCTATTCAGCCAGGCACACAACTCCCTGTATCGACCCCCCCTTTCAGAAACTTAAGCCTGGTTTATGCTCAAAAACCAGGTCGTCTGCATGTGTGTTGCAGTTAACACAACACACCTCCCCCCTTCCGCAGACACTCTGGTACACCTCCCCAAAATTGTAGGTGACCGCGGACAGTGCCGGAGATATCGTTGCAGGGAGGATAGAAAGGAGGTCAAATCTACATCACTATGCGTATTTCCTGTTTGTTACACTACTGGCTTGTTTTGCTTGTATGACCGCCATTGTGGAACATGGACCAGCTAGAAGAGCGATAAGCTCAATGCGACACACTGCTGCCGGAGGACAACCAGCCCATGAGACGGGTATGGGGCATTGCAGGCTAACAAAAGAAGCCAAACGGGGTGGACCGTTCGTCCGTTTCTATTTGCGTTGCGTTGCAATTTGCCTTTGCTAAACAAAAAAGGTAAAACCTCGAACTCAATGCTATTTCTGACTTTATGAATTGAAAAGGCTTCCTGGATGGGAAGCAAAACATCTTAAAACTTGTCCAGTGGATTGTTTTTTAACTTTTTTGAGCTGACTCTGACCTGGATGACTGAGAATTTTCACCAGCACTTAAAGTCGTAGGGAAGCGGCTGTTCAAACCGTTGCATTTCCGAATTCTCCAGAGTGGTGACTGACTTTACACGAGTGAATAAAGTGAATGTGATTGGTCGATTATCAAGGGGGCGGCATTGTTGTGGCGGAAGGTTCGCAAAGCATGTTTGGTTGTGGCTGGTTTGTCGGAAGCATCTTGCTAACCAGTTAGCAACTTAGTGCTAGCAGTTTCCCAAC